TGAGTGCGGCGTCCGGAGGCCAGCCCGCGCTGCCCGTGGGAGCGGGTGTGGGCCGAGCTGCGGTGGCCGACTGCGGGCACGCCCTGTACCCGGGGCGGCTGCCGGGCCCACCCTGCGGGTTCTGCCGCGCCGCCTCGGCAGCCTGCCTTCCCGTGCCGCAGCCTCAGTGACATGGCTCCGAAACATGGCGTAGGCTTGAGCTCGGGATTCAGTGATGTGGTAAAATAAACCCTTCCCGGCACGTGATACACGCCGGGTCAGGAATTGGTATTAATGTTATGCCCAAAGTTGGCAATTTGGGGTGTTCTTTGGTTGCTTGCTATTGGCTCTGTTACATTCAACTATTTGGGGTGGGGTTGCGTGTTGTGGCGCTGCTCTCCTTCCACTTGTGTGGGTCAGGAGGATTAAACCCCGATTATCCGACTCCTGCCGAGCTGTCTGACCCGCGGTGGTTTGGGTTGGGCGGGGGGTGTTTCAACACTATATAGCTCAGGCAGGCCTGGAAATCAGGGAGTTGCCATAGTCTCTCCTAATGCTGAAACAGCAGACGTGAGCCACCTCCATCCACGCACACACATAGCCTATGTTGGTTTTTATAGGCATTGTGAACAGATTACCGTGCGAACATGTGATTGTCACCTTCAGCATCGGTGGTTTATCGATCAGTAGCCATGTGCATTTAAGCCATGGCTTAAATGTCTTCACACTACTTCAGTGTTGAGTATCACAGCCCAGTCAGAAGAGACACATGTATGTGTCAGACCCAACCCTTGGTGCCTTCAAACCCTGTGCCTCCAGCTCTCCCTACATCCCACGATTTGCCCTTTACTTTACAAGGCATACAGGCAGTACCCAGTACACTGGTGTTACTTAGAACTCTGCCTATTTTTTAGTTGCACTCCTGTGTTGCTTACTAATTCGCAGCTCCATGTAGCACTTCTTTAGATCAGTCTGAAGGACCATCACAAGGGGGCCAAGTTAGACTAACTGGGTTCTTCCCTGAAGTTAGGGTCCAGAAGCAATGGCAACCCAGAAGTTACCTCTGAACAGAAAGAAATGACTGGCCACTTCTCTGAGTCTAAAAGCAAGTCTTTCCAGATCTTTGATGGTTGGGAGATGAGGGTGCCTGCAGCTTGGAGAACTCCAGGCACTTCCCATATCAGAGGCACAGTTGCTGTTTTCCTCAGCTTCTGAATCTCCCAGAGCTCCCTGAATGGAGAGGGACCCAGTACTTCATGTGCTGATCCAAAATAGAATTTGCAAAGCTCTGTTAGAGCTTGTCCTTACCCCCTGAAAACATGGATAACCTCTGGGTGGGTGTTCTCAGCTCTACTCTACCTGAGCTCCTGGCTTATTTTAATTCACTGTTGATTTTGTTTTGCCCTGGGCATGTGGAAACCAGTTGACTTGAATAAAGACCAGAGCCTTGGGTTTTCTTTTACTTTCTCTTTATGATAGAAAAGACTGTTTAGAGTCCCTGCTCTGTAGCACTGTGCTACTACTGTGAACTCATTAACGACTCCTTTCTGGAGAGGAAGAATCTAAAGCTCAGACTAAATCCAAGGACTTCCCAGTCTTTATTGAGCTGCAACTGTGAGCTGTGCTATAGGCCAGGGACTCGGAATCCCAGGCTCTCCTGCCAGAAATCCTTTTATCCCAGCAGTCCACCCTCTGCGCCATGGACATGTCACCATGTATCCCCCATCCTGTCATTCAGCAAGAGTAAGCTGTGCATTGGAGAGCACTGCATCCTTCACACATTGGCTCACAATCACTGGAAATGGAGATGATTGTGCCATTTCTTCTCAACAGGGAGGATCTTCGGGTCTCTGATTTCTGCAGTTCAGCATTGGGTGGGTACCAACTGTGAGGGGGGGGGGTGTGGGCGGTGGGAGGGGGGCAGGAGAGCAGAGAAAGATATCCAGGCTTCATTTTGCTTCACGGGGCAGTGTTCATGCTGGGTTCTAATGCTGACTTCCTTAAAGGAGGAAGAGCTGTCTTTGGTACTTACTAAATCTGACAGTTTCTTAATCCACAAAATAGGGATGGTACTGCCTACAGTCTGTGGTGTAGTCAGAGTTCAGTGAGGTGCTTAAGGCCTGGGACAGGGCTTGCCTGGGAAAGAAATGCCAGTCACTGTTGTCACTGCCACAACTTAAATTCATCCTTTTTCCTTGACAACATAGTTCAGACCTTCCCATGCAGCTATCCCTAAAGAGTATGTCCCAGTGGTGAATGAGCAAACCACAGCTACCTTTTTAATCAAAGGCTGTTTGTTTTTCCTGATTTAATTACACATGCCTATGGGATGAACAGCTTTCCAAAATGTTCTAGGATTCTCTTCTTAACAAAGACCTAACAGCCAGTTGGGTTTTTTTTGTTTTTTTAATTTTATGTGTATGTGTGTTTTGTTTGCATATATATAAGTGCACCCATGTTGTGCAATGCCACAATGCCCACAGAGGTCAGAAGAGGGTGTTGAATCCCTAGAAGTGGAGTTATGGATGTTGTTAGCTGCCATGTGGGTGCTGGGAATTGAACCCAAGTCCTCTGCAAGAACAGCCAGTGCTTTTGACCACTGAGCAGCCCTCACAGCCAGTTTTTCATACAGCTTTACCAGGCTGAGATAAAGGTGGCTTTGCCACTACTGTCAGTGAAAATGGGTTCATGTTGAACAAAGGGCCTTGGATTGTGTCGGTAAACGAAAAGGAGGGCTGAGAGAACTCCTTTGCCACAAGATCTGAGCAGTGTTTTTCATTAGTTCTTGATGCCCCAGCCTGGCTCCTCACACACTGAAATGTGATCCTGAGGGCTGAGCTCCTGTGTTGTTATAAAAGCATCCTGCTTCACTGCTCAGGAACTTCCTTTTAAATCAGCACCAATTCCACATTCTCATGGTTTTACATGAAAGTGGTTTTAACGTGCCAATAGGTTTGGGACAGTGCAGTTCAGGGTCCTGTCTTTGGTGGCCCTGGCTGCACAGGCCAGGCAGCTTCTCTCCTCAGCGTTGAAGCCAACTGCCGATTCCTGGTCTTTGCCGTTCTGGCTCCAGTTGTCAGAGTGCACCTTCTGACTGCATTTGGATGCCTGTTCTTTTAGAAACCATCACCCAGTGTCTTGGAGAGCAGCTGGAGCAACTGCAGGCCCCAGTGGAGACTCCAGCAGAGGTGCTGGCAGAAGCCCTGGGAAGCCTGCATCTTGGCTCAGCCCCTGGTGAGTCAGGAGAGCCCCTGGTCCCAGGCACCTGTCTGGTGAAGTGTGTGTGCTATGGTCTCGGGAACTTTGCCTCGTGTGCCACTGCAAGGATCCAACTCGCCTTTCTGCTTCTCCTCCTAGAGAAGTGCCATGTAAGTTTGCCTGCTTCTCCTAAGTCTCACAGGTCTGAGGACCAAGTTCCTGAAACAGCCCTCTTCCTGTCCAGATTCCCAGAAGTCACTGCTGTGTCTATGACCCTCTGTTCAGCCACGTTGAAACCACAGTGCTCATGGCGCTTGGTGTGATGGTCCTCAAAGAGAATGAGGTAGGGGGTCTCGGGAGTGGGGTATGCCATCTCCACGAACCCACCTCTGCTGTAAAAGCTGGTCCCCTGGTGCCTGTGCAGCCCCACTAGTCAGCTTCATTTGGGCCTCTAATGCCCACCATAGAAGCCTGGATCACATAAAACACCGTGAACCATGTATTAAGTTTTGAGCAGTGGGTCCAGAAAGAGCACTAAGTGTGTGTCTGCCACTGCTTAGAGGTGAAGCCCTTTTGGCTGCCTCCAGGATGTGGCTGAAAGATGCTTGCCCTAAGGACAGAACCTCTTAAGCCTTTTTTCTTTTTTTTTTTTTTTTTTTTTTTTTTTTTGTCTTTTTGAGACAGGGTCTCCCTGTAGCCCCAGCTGTCCTGGAACTATGTAGACGAGGCTGGCCTTGAACTCAGAGATCTGCCTGCCTCTGCCTCCCGAGTGCTGGGACTAAAGGCGTGTACCATTACACCTGGCTCCTCTTAAGTCCTTTTTATTTATTTAATTTTTGGCCTTTTTGAGACAGGGTCTCCCTGTAGCCCCCGCTAACCTAGAACTCACTATGTAGACCAGGATGGCCTTGAACTCACAGATATCCACCTGCCTCTGCCTCCACCTCCTAAGTGCTGGGACTAAAGGCATGCACCACCATGCCCCAGCTAATTATTTTATTATTATTATTATTGGAGGGGGTGACATGTACCATGGCCCTCGTGTGGAGGTCAGAAGACAACTTTGTGGAATTGGTTCTACCTTTTATGTGTTAGACATTGAGCTCAGCTCCTGAGGCTTGCATCATCATTCAGCAAGCATCATTATCTGCTGAGCTGTCTCACCAGCCTCTCCTGGGTTGGGGGGGGAGGTGTTGTTTTTACTGACAGTTTCACTCTGGCCCAGGCTGGCTTCAGCAGGTAAGGCCTAGGACACTCACTTCAGCTCACCCTTTGAATGCCAGTCCTGCACAGGTCAGGGCTGTAGGGAGACCAAGTGGGACCCCAGAGTCAGTCACCTCAAGGTCTGTGTGCTAAGCCACCACAGGAGGGGTGTGTGACAGCTCCCTGGGTCCAAGCTGCAAGAAACCACCATGGTCCTGTGTCAGGAGGGAAGCTGCAGGGATGGGGAATGATGCTAGGCAGCCAGGAGGAACGCCTGCAGACAGTGATACAGGACCTAGAGATCGCCCACTGCTGTCCCACTATCACCGACCCAAGCAGCTTCACTTGTGGAGGTTTTTGTGTTCACAGAACACATGTTTATTCAGTCAATTTGAGGTCTTTCCAGACATAAAAACCCATTTCAGCCCTCACAGTTGCTTCACTTTCAGACCCATCACTGTAACGGCCAGCTGGGCTTTGCCCAAGGCTCATCAGCCTGGCCTCCCCCCCACACACTGACATCCTTCCCATTGTTCCCACAGGAGGGCAAGCACAGTGTGGGCATCCAGCCCACAGTCTTCTACATGCCCCACTGTGGGATGGCCCTGTACAACAACCTGCTGTGGAGCAACTGGTCCACAGCTGCCCTTTCCAGGACGGTCATCATTGGAAACAGTTTCAGAAGCCTGGAGGAAAGGTAACCCTGAGCCCTGTGCTGTTCCCTAGTCCTGCAGAGGCCCAAGCCAGACTGACCCTAGGGTGGCAAGGCTTTCCTGCAGGAAACTGGGTGAAAGGGCAAACAGCAGGTCCAGCTTAAAGCAAGTGAAGATGTCTGTAAAGAATCCCTTCTCTTCTGTGTGTGCAGCACACACCCTGGCTCTGCTTCCCAGAGCTGCCTGTACTGTCCTCTCTGACAAGCACGGTTGCTACAACATCCCACTTCCTGCTCATCCCACACTGAATCCCTAAATTCTTAGCAAGTTTTGGTCATCCTATCTGTCATTAATTGAATAAAACAATTCTCATATTTCCTTCTTTACAAAATTTCTAGGTTGTTGACAAGGATTCTGCAGAAAAGTTACCCCTACATTGCAAAGGTACGCATTGGAGTGGAGGGCAGGGAGAGGGTGCGGAGCCGCCTAACTGCTCCCTCCCTGAGATCAGAGGGCCTCATTACTTCTCTTTACTCCCAGGACCAGACTCCCACAGCCCGAATCACAGAAATAAGAATGCCCAGTTCCTCAATTTGCAGAACAAGGGGGGAGGGGTTAGCTTACCTCACAACCATCCTTAACCCTAGTTCTGGGCATTCCATGTGTGTGGTACAGGCAAAACATACATGTAAAAAAGAAATTTAAAGCTGGGCGTGGTGGTGCACACCTTTAATCCCAGCACTTGGGAGGCAGAGGCAGGGGGATCTCTGTGAGTTCAAGGTCAGCCTGGTCTACATAATGAGTTCCAGGACAGCTGGGGCTACACGGAGACCCTGTCTCAAAAAGACCAAAAAAAAAATTTTTTAAAACGACAACTGGGTGGCCATCTGGAAAGGTGAGCCAGAAGAGCAGGCCATGGCTGACCTGCTTCTGGACCTTTCTGTTCAGATTCTGAAGGGCCTGAAGGAGCTCGCACTGCCTCAGACTCCACAGTACATGGACACCTTTAACGACATGTCTGTCCACTGGTTCCCTGTATCAAAGCTGGAGAGACTGTCCAATGATCTGTGGGCATCTCGGGAAGAGCCCGATTATCAGGACTGTGAGGACTTGGAGATCATCAGGAAGCCAGCTGACAGCCCTCTCAGTCACCTGACTGGTGCTGCTGGGGCGGGAGCTGCCATAGACTGCTGCTTTGTAACCGAACACCAAAACCAGAGCAGGAGCACAGCAGGGGCCATCTTGTTCTGAACACCTTGCTGTAGACAGACATGTCTGAAGAGGCATCATACCTATGTCCGGCTCTGGTGGCCATGTCTCCCAAATAGATGTTATTTCTAACCAGGGTTTAAAGTACTGTTTAATTTGTTGCACGTCTGTTCTGTTGGATGCAGGGCTGAGCCTGCTGGCCCCGCAGTCTACTTGGCCATGTCGATGAGGCTCTGCAGGGAGGTGGGCACCCAGGTCTTCTCACCTTGCACAAACACCACGCCCCGGTCGATATAGATCACAATGCGGCCAAAAGTGTACAGCTGCTTGCCCTCGTGCCGCTTGCCAATGACAGGCATGAACACGATATTGTGTTCCTCAGCCTTGGTCTCAATGAGGTCCTTAAAGTTCATGGGCACAGAGCTTGTGGCCACCCCAATGCCCCTCTGTGCCATGTTCTCAGCCTCTCGGCGCTCCTGCATGGCCTCATACTGGAAGTCCTTCCTCCGTTCTGTGTGGGTGAGGTAGGCAATGTTCTCCCTCGCACCTGGCTGCATATAGGCACCTAGGAGAGGGCAGTGAGGAGAGGTGACCCCAGGTACATGAACCCAACATGCAGCATGACTCATGGGGGGTGGGGGTGTTGTGCTTTAAGACATAGGCATTAACAGGACCAAAGCATGTTTGGGGGAGTCAATATCACAAAATTGGTCCGGGAACTTGTGGCTAGTACCAAATACCAGAGGTGAATCAGTGGCAGGTGAGCTGTGGACAAGGCTTGGCCCTACAGAGCTTGCCACCTGCAGTCACAGCTGCTAGACCATCCTGTCTGGTTCACAAGGCCTTCCCATGCTCTAAGTAGGTAGTGCTCCATACCGTGCAGAGCCAGACCCACAATGTTTATCTTCACCCAGCCCATAGAGGCCCCTTGCCCTGCAGGAACAGAACATATATTTGAGGAGCCAGAAGGTACCCCAAATGTTAAGTTTTAAGGGGCACAGAGGAAGCAGTTCTGGGAATACACAAGGTACAAGAGGCTGAGGTGGGGACAGCCCTGGAAAAACCTGTTTGCTTCATTAAACATGACGCATGGGGACAGCTAGGTGAGGTGTCCATGCTGCGATAAATCACAGCTAAGCAGCTACAGCAGCCTTTGCTCAAGAACGGCAACATGCTCAAACTCAGGACACTCAGCTCCTGAGTGGCAGGCTGTGTGCATACTTGAATATCCTTACGACAGAGGCACGGCAACATCCTGAGAACCAAGCAGCTGTGAGCCTAGACACTCAGCAATGGTATAAGAACACTACTGAGTGCCCCACACATAGCTCAGCCCATGAAGCACGTGTCATTACTGTCTCGCAGACATTGAGTGCCACTCCGGAAGCAACTACCCAGTGTTACACTGTCTGCTGTCAGCAGCCCCCAGCTCCTGAGTGTCAGCCACACAGCTGTGGGAGGGCTCAGGTAAAGGGTGCAGCAGTAGGGAAGGCTGCCCTGCAGTTAGCCCTGGCTCCTATCAGCCTCAGGTCACAGGACCAACACAGTGGGAGCTAGTGAGCAGGTGTTCAGTGAGGTGACGTTAGGTGGCTCATGGGGACCAAAACTGGACTGTCAGGCATGTTTAGAAGAATGGAACTTGGAGCCAGGAAATCCCAAACAAGAACCCTACTCACCAACATTGGAGGACACAGCCCTGTTCATGATGTCGAGTGCTTCGTTAAACTTCTCCTTTACAGATGGATGTGCGAGTACCTGGTCTGAAAACATGGACTTCCAGCCCAGGTACCACTTGGTGATCTCCTCATAATTGGGGCTGTTACTGAGCCAGGAGCACAGTACCTGCCAAAGGGACACACAGGATGCTGGGCCAGGCAACACAGGACAGGATGCTAGATCCTGGCAGTAACACAGGAGCAGAGTGTCCCCAGGGGCCACTTGCTCTTCCCAGCAGCTGACACCATGGGCTCAGGAACTCAGCATCCAGCACTGAGGTACAGAATCTGGAGCCAGCCTATGCCAAGTGTTCTTGTACCTAAACATGCCACGCTTCAACTTCCATGTCTCCAGACAGGTTGTGTGAGGAGCAGAGATGATGCAGGCACTCCGTCTATAGACAGCAGCGGGCACTTAGGACCCTGGGACTGGCCCTCACCGTACCCAATGCTCTATTCCCGTACATACTGCATCTGCCACTGGTCAGGCCTTGGCAGAGATTAGGGGGTACCTCCCTTTCCCAGATAGTCCCATAGCTCACCTGAAGCCACTTGGGGAAGAAGTGCTTCTCCAGGAGCCCCACCAGGCTGGAGACAGAGATCATCCCTTCCCAGTCCACCACCCAGTAGAAGGCATCCATATGCTGCTGATGGGGATTGATGACCAGCTCAGCAAGGCACATGCCTGCAGGGGAAATGAGTTCAGCTCCCACAGTGGCAGAGCCATGGAAGCATGTGCCACCAGGTCTGCTCTAGGGTTAATTTTAAGCTCTTGGCTTGGCAATTCTTAAACAATTGTTCCTCCTACCCAGAAACCACTCCCCAGTGATTCACAATTTCAGAGGCCAGTGAATGTTGGGTCCAGAGCCCAAACCAATCTGGTCAAGAAATCACAGGGAGTGAGTCCAATGTCATGGCTCAGACTTAAGGGTCTGCCACGAGGGACAAGCAGTGAGGACCCTGGCTGTGTTTACTCAGCCTCTGCCCAAAGAGGAAACACTACCAAGCTTAGGCCTGCTCTAGATGCCACTGCACCTGGCAACACATTGCCATCTCCTTACCAAGCTTGGGCACAATGTTTTTGACCATGAAGGCCTCCCAGGAGCCTGGGGTAAAGACATCCTTCCAGGGCTGCAGGATGAGCTTGGCTGAGGCATCGCTGGGGTGCCACTTCTGCAGGGCACTAGACAGTTTGCTGCGGATGGGCGAGTAGAGCGGCTCTAGGCGCGCCTGCATGAGGGGCAGCCACGGGTGGATCCATGAGTGGATGGGGACAGTGTCTGTCAGAGGGTTCCAGCTGTCCACCTACAGGGAGGGGAAGATTTAAGTCATGGAGTCATTGGCAGTTTGTGACAGCCTGTGTCCTTGGGAAGGAGACCTGGGTGTCCTGGCATGTGTGCAGAAAACAGACTCCACTGTGAAGTGGAATGGCAGGCATAAGCTGTCCGGCTGCCTTCCAGGCACTCTGCATCCCACATCCCCCCAGAGGGATACCAAAGGCATCCATGACATCATCTCAAGCTTCAGACACACCTAACTTGAGTTTCACTAAAGACACTAGAAAAATGGAATTTCTCTGAGGACATGAAAAAAGGGCAGAATTAATGAATTAACATGGTAGACATTAGCCACACTGTGTCCTGTAATTAGGAGTCTAGTGGCATGCAGCTATAAGACATGCTAGATGCCCCAAGGTAAGCACTCACTGTCCACTCTGCCCACCTCCTTCTGCAGCTTTGGAAAGATGAGCTGATCCAAGATATTGTCCAGGATCCACACAGGGAGGATGGGCACCCAGCTGTCCAGGAAGTCCACCATCGGGTCACAGTTCCTGGGTTGCCACTGGGTGACAACATTCCTAACAAAGGGCATCCAGACTTCCCACATGAGCCTAGGTGAGAGACAAGGGCAGCCAGTCAGCCACACTGCTTTCCACAGTGTACAAGGCACACTACCCCCACTTCTCTAGAACAGAAAAACATCCATATGGACCCCTGGCACAGGAAACCACAGGCCAGTCCCCATTACGGCTCCCAGGACTGTATGGACCGCTGGCACGGGAAACCACAAGCCAGTCCCCACAGATCCCGAATGTCCTCTTGGTCCTGGACCTGGGGTATCCTCAGAGGTGCCACCCACTGGCAGGACTGCAGGACCATGTTGGCTAATAGCCCTGGTGTCAGTACTTTCCCCATAAGAGCCTCTGTCCATAGACAGTATCTCACACACTCGGGGTCCCAGACTGAACATCCCTTCCTGAGATAACTCCACCCTCATGCCACATAGGTCCTGTCTTGTTCTTGGTTCTCACTACCCAGAGTGCATCCTGATACCTGTTCACTTCCTTATCTGCCACCTGCCTTTTCCACTGGACTGTGGGTGAAAGCTCTTTCCAAGGTTAGCCTGGCTCCGGGCACAGTCAGGACTCAACAGTGAGTGAGTAAGTGAGTGAGCTTCAGCTCCTAGAGTATGGCAGGCAAGCAGCACAGGGTCAGTAAGGACCATAGTAGCTGCCGTCGGTCTTCAGAACCTATTCCCCGTTTTCCCTGGGCCCAAGCCACATCTATGGAAAGTGTCCAAGGACGGAGTGACACCCCACCCCCTTCTCCCTGGGTCTGGGCCGCACCTGTGGAAGGCATCGGAGGACAGGTCCTGGCTGCTGTGGGACAACAGCTGGTCATTCTCCAGGAGGCTTTTCCACTTGGAGATGATCTGGGTGCCATAGGTGCCGTCCTGTGGGGAACACAGGCATCATCAGCCCGATCTCAGCACAACCATGTGCCCCAGCAGGCTGTACCCAGCTCACCTCAAGGGGGTCCCAGTCCTTAAAGTAGTCCTTCATAAGTGGGTGGACGATGGCCACAGCCAGGTCAGCGCGGTCGGCCAGACGGTATTCCTCGTAGTACTTGTCCTGCAGCGTCTCAAAGACGTGAGCGCACTCATCCAGGGTGAGAGGGTCGGCACCATGAGGCTGCATGCGCCGCTCGCACTCCTCCACCAGGGCCAGCACCTTGCTGAGGTTGGAGATGACGCGTTCCTCGTGTGCCAAGACCTCAGCAGTCTTCTCGAGCTCGTGTGACAGGCTGACCACCATGTCGCGCTCATACTGTAGCTGCCGGTCACTCTGGATGATCTCCTGCTCCGTGCGCTCAATGAGCAGCTGTAGGTTGTGCTCCAGCTCAGGCAGCGCGAAGCCGGGCACCTTAGCATCCTTGCCTGGCACCGATGGCTGAGACAGCAACGGCAGCCCATCGTCAGGCACACTGTGCTTGTGGCTGATCTGGCTGTAGCTGTAGTAGACCTTTTGCTCCCGGCCAGTCATGTCGATTACCTTGGAGAGAGGCAGAAGGACAGGGGCCAGTCATGCCTGTCAGCCACCACTGAGCGGGGAGCCACCATGCTGGACAGGGTGGTGGGAGGGAAGCACTCTCTCCCTGGGTCCCATGGAGAAGCCCAGGGAAGAGGAGGCTGGAGGCTAAGCAAGCAGTTTTAGGCTGATCCCTTTGGGTAGCTGTTAGTAACAAAGACACTGGGAGGGGGATGAGTATCAGTGACAGGAGAAGAGCAGATGCTGTGCTGATGGGGCTGAAAAACCAGTCAGTCAAGACAGGGAACTCGGCCGCCAATCACATGTACCACCAAACACGTGTATAATAAACACAGGGAGAACCCTTGGGGGCGGGGTGGCATGCTGTTCAAATGTGACCTTTGGTTTTGTTTTTTGGTTATTTTTGTCTTTTTGAGACAGGGTCTTCCAGTAGCCCCACCTGATCTAGAACTCTCTATGTAGACCAGGCTGGCCTAGATCTCAGAGATCTGTCTGCCTCTGCCTCCCAAGCACTGGGATTAAAGGCATGTGCCACCACTTTCAGCTTAAATGTGATCTTTGGGAACATGGAAAATATTTTTTGTACTTTTGCTTCTCTATTTCTTGATTCTTTAAAACGCCCTGCACACTACTCTTGTAGTAAGGATTTTTTTAAGTTTAAACACAAACTATACAGAAAACAACAATTCATAGTTACAGGACAAAGGCAGAGTAGGAATGAACTGATTGCAGTACTTTTGGAAAATGAGCAATTCCAGGACAGCGCCTATAACAAATTAGCCCTTGAAGCCCGGACTAGACCAACCAGCCCAAAACCAGTGTGCACACTTGTGAGCTGATACAGAGCACAGGACGCTGACCACAAGCTTGAGCTCTGAGACACCCTCACTACCCTACACCAAACCAGACAGGCAGCTGCCACTGCTGTGGTCTGGCTGTGTGGAAAGTGACAATCTATGATACCAACATGTCCATCACAAGGAGGAGGTCATCCCTACCATCCTGCCCCCAACTTGCTAACCTCACACACAACTACAGCATACCTGCCAGCCAGTCAGCCCCACGTTATCAAATGTCACCTCCCTAAGAGGGCAGAACCTGCTCCTGCCTCCTGCCCATGGCCATCCTTCTCACCTGCGTACTGCTGGCAACCTGTCCTTGCTCTACATATAGCTGCGGTGCAGCTCCCCAGCCAGGCGCTGCACTCAGCAATAGGCACATGAGGTTGTGTTGTTTGACAGTCTTGGGGGTGGAACCCAGGACCTGGCACAGGTTGGGCAAGTGCTCTACAACTGTGATGCACCCCAGTCTGTTGAGTTTTTTGTAACAAAAGTGTCAGTGACTTGGCTGAGTATAAGCTCCAGAAAGACAGGAGTGTGGTCTGCTTCACCCTGCTGTACCAAAGGGTACTTGGCAGAGTAAGAACTGAACAGTAGTCTCACACACGATACACTGGAGATCCCAACACCTAGGAGGCTGGGGCACAATTCTGTGCTTGAGGTCCACCTAAGCAAAACAGTGAGTTGCAGGCCAGCTTGGGTTAAAGGTAGGATTCTGTCTCAAAAGCAAGGCAAGAGGGAAATGACACACACATCCACACAAATAACCTAGTTACTACACCAAAGAACTTCAGAGAATGGCCACTGGTGACAGGTGAGAGGTTCTGGCTCTGCCTGCCCAGGCCCTCATACCTTGACCTGAGACAGCTCCTTCTGAGGAGCTGTGAGCTTCTTGCTGATCCTGCCCTTGGCCTTCAGCTCTTCCACTGTCTTGTAGGAGTACTTGGGCTTCTTCTTGCTTCCGCTGGGGTCTTTCCTCCACTGACTCAGCTCCTTCTGAAACTCCTGGGAGAGGGATGACATAGTGAGTCTCCTCAGGAGGTCCCAGTTCCCACAGCAGCTGGGGCAGCCAGGGCCCTCAGCAGAGCTGCAGGCACCCCAGGCCTGTAGGACACCAGACCACCAACAGCACTTCTCAACACCCTGGACAGGTAGTGAGGTGGCAAAGTCAGGTGCCCCTGAGGAGCCAAGTGCCACTTCCTGTGCACTGGTCACAGGTGGGCCCTGCTAGCCTTCAACTCACCTATGTAAAACTCAGGAACAAGCATGAAGGATTAAGTCCACAACACCTTGCTTCCAGTTTAAAATGAGAATATCTACACAGGCCTCATGTGGCAAGTTGTTGTAAGCCCTGGGCACACAAAGCTCTGCAGGTCAATGAGCAGAGACCAGCACTCGTGAGGACTTGTGGTCCCACCCTGCAAATGAGTTCCATGGCTGCCAGTTTATGTTTTCATACTGATTTAACCTGTCTCTGCTTTTTTCCAGTGTGTGGCGTTAGATCTGTCAACACAACACCCAGGGCTGTATGGGGCCTATGCAGAGCCTGCCCTGCAGCCACAGGACCAGGACTTGCCTGTCACACTCTCTACTGTCACATCTGCTCTCCTCCCATACACCTAACCCTATGACAGGCCTGACACCTGCCAGCTGTCCCCTCCTATCTAAAGGTCAGTGCAAAGAATGCTGACAGCATCTCTGTGTCGGCTTTTCCTCATGAGCACAAGGACAAAGGGAGGCTTCAATCAAGGTTGACTGGCAGCTGAAGGCTTCCTGCAAATGAAACCCAGGCCCCAAGGGCTCTGCAGGAGGCTGGCCACCTCTGACCACCTGTTCCCTCCTTGCTGTATGCACCCTCCCATCACACCTCCTGATACAATCCTCAGTGGCGTAGCTTCTCAGCCAATGGCTGGCAGTGTCTTCACTGCCCCCACTGCTTCTGCCTGCTCATCACTGACTCACCTGAAAAGCTTCCATGCCTACCAGGACTCCCTGCCCCTACTCACTAACACAGCCCTTCCAGGTGCTTCTTACCACACACTGCCATTTCTAACCACACAAGGGCTGCCTGTGCACGTGATTCTGTCCAACAGGCTGAACCAACACCAGAGCCTGGCATGGAGCAGGTGTGTGACACCTGAAGACCAACAGAATCCATGACCCATGAATAGAGAGCTGTCTGAAATGGCTCAGGAGTCACCTGTCCACACCCCACCTTCTCGTTACCTCTTCAGCTTCCTCTTCTGAGTCCACCACGGGGAAGTCCTGCAGAGACTGAGTGGTCCGCTCTGAGCCATAGGCCCCCACAGCTCCTTTGCCCTTTCTCTGTTTGGCCTCAATTGGGTTGATGATACCTGCCAAGGTCAGCGAGACAGAACAGACCCTTCAGACCCAAGCAACCCCTGAAAATACCACTAGGCAGAAATGCCCTGCCCTGTGCCTGAAACACCACCACATCACAAGGGACTTGATGCTTGAGACAGGTCATCTCTGTTCTAAGTACAGACTGCCACTTCCACGAGTCAGTTTGGGTAGGCTGGTGGAAAACACATTTCTAACTCATTGCTCGGCCTCAGGGTATGCCCATCCAGGCATTCAGAGGCCTGTGTGGCCAGCACAGTAATTCAGGGGAACAGATGAGAGAAGACAGATGCAGGCTAGTATGGGGTTCATAGCGCCAGTGATCAACCTGTGCAACATGGCTAAGCCCTGGAAATAAACAGGAGCACAGCATTTCTGGGAGCCTCCCGACCTTTCCCATCAGCACTGTTGACATCTCATGGAGATCTGCCTTCTCTTCCAGCCTTGTCTGGCATGTAGCATTTAACATGGACAGCTCCTCAAGTCTGCATGTAAACTACTGAGAACACTTCTAATTGAACTCAGTTCTTGGGCAGCAACACAGAGAGACTTCCCACAGGAAGCAGCCAAGCACTCGCTCTGCATGGCTGCAAGATGGAGGAGACAGCTGTGTGCTATGGACAGGAGAATTCCGCTCAACGAACAAGGCATAGATGCAGCCTTGGCCAGTGAAAAGTCACAAAGCTTGATGATCTACTTGAAGCCAAGCCCCTAACTGGGAGAACACAAACCCCGTAAGCAGGAACCACAGCACTGAGCTTCAGGGTCCAGGTGGGCAAGCTCCTGGGAATGATCAGAGCAGGGCAGGTGGTGGGAACTGAGGAGACTGCTTCTAAAAGGCTCTACACAGCCCCAGGGATGACTGTGAGGCATCTAAACCACTACCAGACCTAGTTTGGTTTGGTGTGATGTGGTGTTGGTTGTTTTGGTTGGTTTTTTGTTTTGAGACAGGGTCTCCCTGTAGTTCCAGCTGGTCTGAAGCTCACTATGTAGAACAGGCTGGCCTTGAACTCACAGAAATCTGCCTGCCTCTGCCTCTTGAGTGCTGGGACTATAGGCATGCGCCACCACGCCCGGCTGCAGGCCTGGTTTTAATATTAGCAACTAATTTAAAATTGCCTGATTTCAATATTAGCAAGTAATTCAACTCTTCAGAAACACTGTCCAAGTCAAAAAAACACCTGTCTGCAGCCTTAGATCGTGATGTTTTTCCTCCCACTCACAGATCTTACTGAATCTGGGTTCTGAGAGTCAAGGTGGCTGAGAAGCACAGCTCGCCTGTGCTGCTAAACCAAGCTGCAGAGTTGACAGCTATTTGTGTTTCTGAGTCTGAGCAGCCATCCCAAAGCTATGCGCACGCTCAACAAGTAGAAGACCGCGCCACACTTACAGGACTCATAAAAGGGAAGAGACGGAAGAAGGGAGTCTCCCCCTCTCCCTGCCCACCCCTCCACTCACTCTCCTTGGGCTGCAGCCTCACCTTGTGCATTCTTGCCAAGGCCACGCCCAGGGACATAGCCCATCTTCTGCAGTAGCTTTTGGCCGATCCCTTTTGTGTGTCTCTCCCAGCTGCCAAAGTCCATGAAGGACTTGGTCCCTCCTGCAAAGCCTTTCTGGCTGGGCTTAAAATTGCCACCCTGTAAAAAAGGTAAGACAAGGCTTAGTGATGAGAAAAGACAAAGATGGCTCAGCCAATGAGAAAACAGCCAAGCAGTTACCTCCCACTATGAAAAGCACATGAACCAAACCAAGGACATAGGTCAGTGAAGAAGAGACTGTAGGGCCCCAGGCCTGTCTATGGGAGAAGTCCACACATGGGTGCCAGCTAGGCTTCTCCTTGGCTAGACAGTGTCTGCACTGCAGTGAACCCTAAGGGCACCCTGAGGGGACCACCCTGCAGGACTGTACCGTTTTTAATTTCTTTGGTCCAAAATCCTTCGGGAAGTCCTCCTGCTTCACAGGTTTCTCCTCCTCATCAGAATCTTCGGAGTCTACCTCCTCAGCAGCCCCTTTCTTGAGCCCTGCACTGATGAAGTTTACAGGCGCGGAGTAGTCTCGGGCTCTGCAGACAGACACAAAGCCTGACTCGTAAGAAACTCTGCAGTCACTGGTCCTAGAAACTGCTTACTATGTGGTCTGTTTAATTCAAATCTGCCACTATCAATACAGAGCTGATTATAAATGACAACTTATCTATCTCCCTTTGACATTTTAAAAATGTTATTTGTCATGATTATGTGTATGATGGGGAGCACATGTACTAGGCAAGCATGTAGAGCCAAAGGAGAACTTTGTGCAAGTGGTTCTCTCCTTCCACCTTCTACATGGGAACCAAGGATCAAACTCAGGCTGTCAGATTTGTGTGGCAAGCACCTTTACCTGCTGAGCCATCTCACTGGGTCCCTCTTTTAAAATTTAAGACTATTTTGCAAAGAGTTGGAAATGCAGCTCAGTGGTGGAACACTTAACCTTGTGTGCAAGTGGCCCTAGCAATTCCCAGAACCCCCTAAAAGCCTTTCTTTTAGATACTACTCCAAGTGCAAAACTCAAGTAGGAGTAGAAAAATTCAGATAGATAAAAGCCCCAAGTAAAATTAATTAAAATTCTGAGTGTAGCTGGGCATGGTGGCACATGCTTTTAACAGCACTCAGGAGACAAAGGCAGACAGATCTCTGTGAGTTCCAAGTCACCTAGGGCCTATCTCAAAACAAACGAACAAACACCTGAGTGTAAAGCACATGAACAATTATGTCAATCAAACTCACAAAAAGCTTATTAAAGTTAAGAGAACTGAACTAAATGCTCCAAATTAACTGAAATGTACTGATTTAAAATTCTGAGTACTTTAAGAACAGTATTAAGGTAAAGTGGGCTGGGAGATAGACCAGTAGCTGAAGTGCTTGCTATGCAAACAAAAGGACCAGAGGCTGGAGAGATGGCTTAGCAGGTAGAACATGGCTGCTCCTACAGAGGACTGGGGTTTGGTTTCCAACACCATATCAGGCAGCTCACAACGGCCTGTTAATGGTGATCTGATGTCTCTGGCCTCCATGGGCACATAAACCCACACAGGCACATACACATAAATAAAAATAGAAGAACAAGCTGGAAGAGCTATCAAAGAAGAGTCCCAACGTCAGCCTTGGGTTTCTGCATCTATGCACTCACACACACACACACACAAACATGAAAAAGAAAGAGAGCAGGCTCTTAACCTCACCCCCTTTTGTAGGGAAGGAAACTCTGGCTAAAGGAACACAGAGAAAAATTCCAGTGGAAAACCTCGGCATTTTACAACACACCATGATGCTTGATAAACTGACCAGCTATGGCAACAATGGGATCCAGGGAGTATTTTCCTAAAGGGTGCAATGTAATTTATGATTAAAAGACAAAATTTAGGGACTGGAGAGAGTGCTCAGTGAGTGGGTAAGAGCACCAGATGCTCTTGCAGAGGACCCAGGTTCAATTCCCAGCACCCACATGGCAGCTAACAACCATGTGTAACTCCAGCTCCAGGGGATCCGACGCCTTCTTCTGACCTCTGTAGGCATTGCACAACACAGGTGCACTTACACACATGTAGGTAAAACACTCACACACATAAACTAAAAATAATAAATAAAATATTAGGTGGGGGTGCACACCTGTAGTCCCAGCACTTGGGAGGCAGGCGGATCTCTGTAAATTCAAGGCCAACCTGGTCTATATAGCGAGCTCCAGGCCAGCTGGGGCTACAGGGAGACCCTGTTTCAAAAAGACCAAAAAAAAAAAAAAAAAAAAAAACCAAAAAAAAACAGAACAAAATAATTTTTTAAAGACCAAACTTAGATTCATGGGGGGTCAAGGTTCCAATTCTAGCCCACCCTCTCCCTAGCTGTGCCACTTGAGCCTCAGTTCCTAAAATTGGGATGAAACAGCCTGTGGACACAAGCCTACAGTCCTGGCCGTTTAGGAGACTAACGTCAGAGCATCCCAAGCTAAAGGCCTGCCTGGGCAACTTGGTGATACCCTGTCTCAAAACAGAAAGTAACAACATACGTGAGGCCACAGCACAGTGACACAGCACTTACCTAGCATACTGAGGCCATGGGTTCAACCCCTAGTGCCATACCAAAAACTGTAAAAAGGTACGGAAGGGGTAATAACAATGTGCCTCTCTCATAGGGTAAAGGACAGCAGCTTGTGAAGTATCCTGAACAAGGAGGCAAGGTGGAGCTTACCCATTATTATCACTGTAAATCAAGCCACCCTTGATCCCTGATCACTTACCACACAGCTCCAGCCTTCCCTGTAGGCAAGAGGAAGCTGAGCCCACCCCTGCACTTTCTCTCCAGACTCCTTTACGAGGCAGGACCATTCTCAATGGGCAGGAGCAAAGGCCAAAAGGCAAGAAACAAACCCAGATCTACCACACAGAGGGTAAGAGCTGAGGCCATACATGAGCCCACTCTGGGCAGACAAGACCTTCCTCATCTCTCAGGCTCCATCCTACATGGGTCTCATCACTTTTTAGGGAACCAGGGCAAAACATACACTCTCTACCACAGTACTTCTCAAACTCAGTCACCACCAAGTACCATCAGTGCCCTAGTGCCTCCCAAGGGCTTCTGCATGCCCACACTTTGCCTACAGTCCTAGTTACCATCTATCTTTGTTTCAGATTACAGGGCCTTTCTCCAGAGTGTCCTTCCCTGACCTCCCAGAAGAGGTTCCCTGTCCTTCAGACAGCTGAAGAGCCCTCCTCCCCCAGGTCACTGTTCCTCAGCTGCACTGTGGTTGATTAGCACTTCAATAACCACCAGGCAATGAGATCCAAGAAGGCCAGGGCTGGGTGACAACAGTAATACACAGCACACAGTAACTGCTTCATGAACTGCAGACTGAGGATCAGATTGGCTGGTGAAGCACCAGCTGGAAGGGGAACCTGTTCCCACTCTGGCCTCCCCCCCGCCCCTGCCACCCCCAACACACAACAAAATGCTCTTGCTAAAGTTCACCAGAACCAGGAGAGAAGTCTTATGGGGCTTTCTGCCCTGTCCCTGGAGCAAGGGCAAGCAGCCCAGTGGGCAGTACCGTTTGCCTCCGAAGCTGGGTCTCTCCTCATCCGAGTCACGCTCAGCCCACACCCCATAGGTGGCCTCTTCCTTGGTCTGCCAGTGGCGCTGCCGGTTGGGGTTGAACTCATTCTGCAGATCCCATTCAGTGATCTCAAAGTTCTCTCGCTCATCATCATCGTCATCCAGGTGGCCTTCCCCATCCCGGTACAAGTGGGACAGAGACATGGTCAGTCACTGAAGGGACACAAAGGGCAGTGTGAGAAATCCTGGAGGCAACAGGGTCCTGGAGTCTCTATTCCTCATCAGCTCCAGACCTTCTTGAAGCACATCCAAAGTCCATTAACCTCACACTGCTCTTCAATAAAGCAGTGACTGAGGCACATTTGAGAAAACTCCTGAAACACCAAAACCAAAGACTGGCCAGCAGTCCACAGGAGGCTAACAACCTGACTCCATTGGTCTAATCTGTCAAACACACACACACACACACACACACACGCGCGCGCGCCAGAAAAAGAAGTACACAGTTCTATACATTAGCAGCTCAAAAGGTGAGTAGCCACCTGACTTTTCCTATTATCCAGGAAAAGAAATATTTAGATTATTTCATGATGACATGCAAAGCCACTTAGGTATGACACTCAGGTTTTCCTCCCCAAACCTGAATTGACGTGCTGGAAGGCTTTGGGCATTATGGACACTACCTTAATACTTACACCTGCACAGTGTGGCCTAAAACCATCTGTTCTGCCCAGCAGACAAAATCCAGCCATCTTATAAAACGCATCGGTGACCACAGTCAACTTCAGAAACAACTTATAAGGACTGAGTAAGATGGTGCTTTAAAAAAACAAACCCTGGACTGGAGAGATGATTCTGCACTAGCTGCCCTTGTAGAGGATCTGACCTGTGTTCAGTTTGGTTCCCAGTACCCACTTGGCCCTAACAACTGTTCCTAACTCCAGTTCCAGGGGATCTGACACGCTCTTCTGACCTCCGCGGACATTGCAGGACAGGGGTGCAAGTTACATTCATGCAAACAATACCCTCATATATGTAAAATAAAAATAAATAAATAGGGGCTGGAGAGATGGCTCAGCGGTTAAGAGAAATGGGCTCTTTCAGAGGACCCGGGTTCGATTCCGAACACCCACATGGCGTCTAACAACCGACCGGAACTCCAGTTCCAGGCGATCCGAGACCTTCTACCCTCCGTGGGCGCTGCACGACACGGTGCACTTACACACATGCAGGCAATACACCATACACATAAAAATAATAAATACAATATTGAAAATAAATCGACCAATCAAAAAAATTTAAAAAAAAAAACCCAAAACCCTGAGCTCCCATCCCAACAGATGCTCCTGAACAGTGTGCCCCTTCAGTCCGCTCGTTGGGGGTCACCTCAGTACCAGGCATGACTGGACAGTGAGCCCCGAAAGAGACTGTGAAATCGGGCACAGCCAGAGTTCAGCTCCCGCCATCCTCCCCGGGGCCCCCGGTCCGCTCACCTCTCCCACGGCGCCCAGAACCTCCAACAGCTTTCCAGAGCCAGAAAACATACGGTCCGCCAGCCAGTCAGAACCCGGATGTAGTGCTCCCGGCACGACGGAAGTGACGTTGTGACGGAAATGACGCGTTGTTGGTCCAGCAGCCGATTTAACGCTAAACCAGCCCCACCCCACCCCCACCCCCGGGGCGGGGGCGGGGTTGGGGCGAAAGGCTGGGGATCCCGCCCTATCCTGCGCCCCTCATCCCGTCCTGCACCCCGCGCAGACCTTGGCCACAGGGGCGCCACTGTCTGGACGAGAGCCGAATCTAACCGGGACAGCTGGCGGCAGCCCTCTGGGCCTGTCAGGGAACCCCAGATGAAGGACTCTCGGGACTCCACGCAGGGGAAGAGCTTGCGTGCCCGGAAGAGTTCGTACAGTCCTGACCCTGACATCACAGAGTCAGCAGGCATGCTTCTTGTCCTGTCTCATCATCTCTGTAAAATTGTATCCCTGCTACAGGAAAGGCCAGGAATGGAGGGATGTACCTCCCAGCAGCTCTGGCCAGGCTGTGATAAGTCCATTTGCTTTGCCACTTTCTGTTCCTGATTTCTTTTGAAATAAAATGAAGCTAAAGCAGCTGTTTATGGAGCTAAGTGCCTTGTGGCAGTTTGAAGGAATGAATGGCAGACTATAGATTAGCCAAGTATTCTCTCCTTACTGTCCTAGTAACTTCTCTGTTGCTGTGACAAAAGCAATTTAAGGGAGGAATGATCTGTTTTCATCTTACATTTCCAGGTCAGTCTGATGACATCAAGGGGTGCAGGAACGTTCAAAAGGCAGGAAATAAATCTTGGGGAGTCCAGGGGAAGCTACCATATGATACCAGGGAAATCAGGGTCCCCTTTTGGAGTTCTTCATCTCATTAATAAAAGAATTAAAGAACAGACTCAAAACTAGGCATGATACCCCACATATTTAAATCCCAGCACCTACAAGGCAGAGGCAGATGGATCTCTGAGTTCAAGGCCAGCCTGGACTACACAGTAAGAACCTGTCTCAAAAACAAAACAAAAAACAGACTCAAAGGAAAGTTCAAGGACAATGCATTAGAGTTTAAAGGAGCATACCCTTAATCCCAGCACCCCAGAGGCAGAGGCAAACCCATCTCTGAGATCCAGGGCAGCCTGGTCTACATAGGGAGTTCCAGGCCAGCTTGGGCTACAGGGAGACCCTGTTTTCAAAAATAAAAAATAACCCTAGAGGCTCAGTGGTTTAAGAGCATTGGCTGTTCTTCCAGAGAACCCAGGTTTGATTCCCAGCACCCACATGACATGTAACAACCATCCATAACTCCAGTTACAGGGAATCTGACACCCTTGTCTGGCCTCCATGGACACTACATGCATGTGGTACACCTACATACATGCAGGCAAAATTCATACACATAAAAATTTTTTTAAAAAATTAAATAAACCCAAGGCTAGTGAGCTGTAAATCTTACAGCTGACCAGAGGAGAATGGAGGAGAGAAGGGAGCGAGCAGTGCTGTTGGAGACAGGCCAGCAAGGAGGTCTGCCAGAGATGTCGATGTTAGGTAGCCACAGACAGGGAGGGACGCTCTAGAGAAAGAGTAAGGAAGCCTAAAAGTATTAGGGAGTTTAAGAGAAAAACACCAGGCAGGCAAGCTATCAATCTTGCCACTGCTCTGGAGGAGGAGAATGGAGAAGAAAGGACAACAGACTTGCTGTTTGAGGTAAGCGACACATGGATGGCAGCCATGTGGCAAGGGAGAACAGCTGTAGAGAAATGGAGGCACCCAAAATACCAAGGACTTTAAACGCATTTCTTTCTGGCCAAGCATCAGAAAGAAAAATCAGAGAAGAAAAAAGTGGGCATGGTGCACACGCCTTTAATCCTAGTACTTGAGAGTCACAGACAGGCAGATCTCTTGAGTTGAAAGCCAGTGTAGGCTACATAGCAAGTTCCAGGCCAGTCAGGTGTAGTGAGAACCTGTCTTTAAAAAAAAAAAAGAAAAAAAGGCTGAGTGTGGGATGGGATGCATGCTTTTAATCCTCAATTCCCACTCGGGAGGCTGAGGCAGGTGGATCTCTGTGAGTTCCAGGTCTCCATAGTGAATCCAGGTCAGCAAGACCCTGGCTAAAAAAAAAAAAAAAAGAAAAGAAAAGAAAAGAAAAAGAAAAAGGAATAGTTATGCCCTTTTGAGTCAGGGCTCAGCAAGGCATGAAGACCCTGCTGGACCTCATGACAGCCCATAAATACTGCACTAGGGACAGAAATTCTGGAAAGGAAAAGTGCATTTTCTTAAGGTAAACCTGCCTTCCTTAGAGGTGGTCCCTTAGCCAGGCCCTTGAGGGGAGCAAGAGCAGGATCTCAAGGCGAGAACCACAAAGGAACTGCTTGCTGGCTCATAGAGCCCAGGACCACCTGCCTATACATAGTGCTGCCCATAATGGGCTGGGCCCTCCTGCGTCAATTAATAATAATCCCCCCACACTGGGAGTGGTGGTGCACACCTTTAATCCCAGCACTTTCGAGGCAGAAGCAGGTAGATCTCTGTGAGTTCAAGCCCAGCTTGGTCTACACAGTGAGTTCAGGCCAGCTGGGGCTACAGGGAGAAAAACCCTGTCTCAAAAAGACCAAAAAAGAAAAAAAAAAAAAAAGACAATCTTCCACAGATATGCCCACAGGCCAATCCTAGGAAATTCCTCAATCGAGGTTTTCTTCTGCGATGACTCTAAGCTGAGCCAAGTTGACAGAACTAACTAGGACACTTTCCAACTGGCTGGTAAATAAATTCATTTATTCATTTATTCACTAATCCCATTAAGATGTACCCAGAAGCAGAACCCAAGCAGTATGATGAACAAAATAGGTGAAAGGTTTGGGGTGGGGGAGTTCAAGAGGGACACTGAAACAGATGACAAGGGCATAAGGAGATTATTTTAAAAGCTATTAACACCATGGCCAAATGGACAGCCATCATGGTGGGAGCTCTGAGCAGAGTTCAGGCCTCAGCACCAGACAGACGGCATGGTGGGGGCTCCAAGGAGAGGACTCAGAGCCCACATGGCAGAAGTGGGATCAGGTTTTATACCTTTTGAAGAAGGGGAAAGTTTCACAGCACAAGCTTGCAGCCAGGCTCTCTGATTCTCAGACAGGAGAGGAGATAGAGAGCCAAGTATTACATTTTTCTAAGTCCAAGTTTTCTGCAAAATGGTTGATGAAATCAATAAGATACAGAAGGCAGGCTAGGAAGACTAGCAAGCACACAGTTGGCGCTTAGCAACTGTTAGCTAAATTTTCTTCCATTTTCTTTCCCCATGATGAGAAGACCCAACAGGCAATTTCTGAGAGTACAGAGAACATTAGACCTAGAATAAAAAGGCTTAAATACACCATCCATGCTTGAGATGAACTAAGAGCTGACGTGGAGATGACAGGATCTTGGGAATGATGACTGTGGCTTAACGGTGTCTGTGTCCACCCCAGTGACATGCGGGGTGTCTGTACCTGACACACAGTATGACCTCAGGAAAGAAACTAGATACATTGGTTTTGGCAGAAGGGCAGAGGGAGAGTCTCACAACTACAGTGGCTGTGAGGAGCGGAGTGAGGGAGCAAAGCAGAGAGAGGGCTTTAAGTCTAGGCCCGAAACTTTGAGCCTCATATATACTTGTTTATAGCCCAGAGGAGTATGTGTGCCTTTGTATGTGGGGTGTGTGTGTGTGTGTGTGTTCATGTGGGTGAACATCTTTGTGGGGAGATGTGCATGTCTGTGTGTGGGATGTGTTTGTGTGGGTGCACATGTCTTTGTCTGAGAGGTGTGTGTTCATGTGGGTGCACATGTGCGTGTCCAGTGGCAGCCAGAGGACAACCACTGTTTTGTCATTCCTCAGGAGCCATCCTGTTTTTTGAGAACAGAGTCTCTCGTTGGCCTGAAAGTTGCCAATTTGGCTAGGCTGGCTGGGCTTTGAGCCCCAGGGATCTGCCTGTCTCCATTTCCCTGGCACTGGGATTACAAGCATGTGCCATTACACTCGGCTTTTTCATATGAGTTCTGAGGATTGAATTCAGATCCTCGTGTACGCATTGCAAGCACTTTACTGAGCGAGCCATCTCCCCAGACTGGAAAGCCTGCCTTTTACGGAACTTCGTTTGCAGCTTTACTGGGCGCTTGCCGCTGCAGACGCTTGGCTCATGAGGACTGGATGTTAATGGTCACTTCATCACGTTCACTTTGCCACATGGCTTGAGAGAGAAAAGCTTGTGGACTAGTGTGGGTGGGTAAGAGTACAGGCTCTAGTTTGGTTTTTTGTTATTGTTCGGGGGGATACTTTTGGGTTGTTTTGTTTTTGAGACAATGGCTCACTATGGAGATCAGACTCGTCTTGAACTCAGAATCTTCCTGCCTCTGCCTCCCACATTCTAGGGTGGTAGGCATTACAGAGCTGTACCCTGCTAAGAATGCAAGCTCTCAATTGATTAGTATGTGTATAGTCTGGGTTCTCTAAAGAAGCAGAACTGATAAAATGAATAGATGAATTTACAGGATAGAGTTCAAGTAGTCTAACAAGGGCTGCACCACACCAGAGAGGCTGAGAGTCTGGTAGTTGCTCAGTCCACGAGGCTGGATGTCTGCATCAGTCCCAATCTGGTGCTGAAGGCCTGAATGATTCCTGGAGAGCTGCTGGTCTCCAGTCTATGTTGGAATCCGAAGATGTTAGTTCTACTATTGGCAGAGGAATACTGCGACAAGATGAAACCACTAGTGGGAGAGAAGGCCAACAGGCAAGAAACCAAAGCTCCCTTCTGCTGTGGCCTTTTACACGGGCTGCCGTCAGAAGGTAACACCCACATTTAGGGTGGGTCTTCCAGCTTCAAATAATTCAATCAAGAAAGTCTCAGATCTGATCAGGTTGACAACAAAGATTAGTCATCACGGTGTGTAATGTTCCAAGAGGGACAAACTTAAGTCACATGCCACATGAGTAGATGCTCCAAAAAAGAGCAATGATGTTCCTAGTCCAAGTGCACAACCTGAGCTGAATCAGCAGGAAAGACAGCAACCCGAGCCAAGGGGCCTTCTTTGCAAATAGTCATCCTCACGAGGCCAAGGTCATGAAAGTCAAAGAAAG